ACAATCTATGACTGCTATCCCAGGATAGCTTCTATAGTATTCTCGCGACTAGGATCATTCGCTAGTAATACCTATCTATTCGACGGACAGGGTCGGTTTAACCCTTTCGCTTTTAAAGACGCATACACATGCTATTGTAAACAATGATAAAATAAGGTAGAAACTTGACACATTCTGAATCGATATTTCGAATTTAAAAGATAATATTAAAATAGCAAAATAAAATAAGATTTAAATGTTAAAATAATTATCTTTATAAAGTTTCTTAAAATGTGGAAAATGGTTTATAACTTCTGTTTTACCGAACGCTAAATATTATAATTCTATGATGAGAATATCTATCTCCTTTGCAATACAATATCAAATAAAGAAGATTAAGTTATATAAATTATTCATCAGCCCTGAGCGGTTTTCACACGGTGTCTCGCGTTTCTAATTCACTCTCCGCGATCCGATCCTACGCAGCCAACGTATGATCAAAATAAAGGAGAGGATCCGTGTCTGCCTTTTTCCTCTGTGCATAATACAGGTGCAGGACAGATAGGACAAGATCTCCGCGATGATATTGGAACGAGAATGAGTGAGCGAGAGGGGTAATACCACCAGCAGAGCAAGGCGAATCCAGCAGAGAAGGGGAGGAGGAGTTCAGAGCAGAGGAAACGAGAGAGAAAGAGAGAGAGAGAGAGAGAGAGAGAGAGAGAGAGAGAGAGAGAGGAGGGACGGTAAAGAGGGGATAGGAGGAGAAGAGGGCATAGAGCAGCTGAATAGGAAGCGACACAATGGACCTGGGTGGCTGTGGAGGCGTGTTATCAAATGGGTTCCTCATTCACATACTGCGGCCTGAGCTACCTGTGTCTGTCTGTACCGGTGTCTGTCTGTTATACTTATTCATACCGCCCATTGTGTCCTCCACTGTTGAGTCGAGTTCAGTTCAGTTGAGAACGCGATGGAACGTGCCACAATGCACGAATATGGGCTGCGCCGCACCTCCCCTCCCTTCCTCCCCCTCTTTCTACACCCTTCCGCGCACCCCCTTGTCATCGTATCTCTTTCTCTCTCTTTGCCATTTGCCACCCACGGTCCAACCCGCGCGCGCGTTGGATTCGCCGGGACCGACTGAAAAGAAAATTGCGTCGGGAAATTGTATCCGTGAGAAAACCCGACCGATAATGCCGAGTTCTTGAAGCGTACACGTCGCGAGATTTCTCCACCCCGGTGGCATCGACAACGACGGTGGTCGTCGAATCC